CATGGGGCCAGTGTCGGGAGTAGGGGTGGGGTCGAGACTGTCAAAGGGAGAGATGAAGTAGGAGGACCCGGACCACAGCGGTGGGATGCGGTGAGAGGTCCGTAGAAGAAGAAGCAGTGGAGAGTCAAGATGTTGGGCCACCAGGAGGAGGCATGTGCCGTCCACAGAGCCAAAGGCCACAGATGTTGTGTAGCATGAGAAACCAGAGGACACCGGCTTTGGCTCTACGAGGACCACTGGTTCCATAGTGGACATGACTTCAACAGCAGGGATGGGGGTGCCGGGGGACAGAAGTCAGTCTACAGGGGGTGGAGGAGAAAACACAAGGGGAGCTGTTGGGAGGTGCCATCGAGGCGGTTCAGATAACGGAGCGAAACATTGCCCAGTCCTGTGCCATCCTCACAACGGTTCCTGTGACTGAGCCCATGGTTGAAACCACTGTGTCCATCTGTCTCATCCAGGGCCTTGCTCTCTGTCCCTGCCCCTCTACTTTACCAAGCATGATGTCCTGCTCCAGGGGCTGGTCCCCCCTGACAACACGTCCAAAGCATGGGAGACGAAGTCTCGCCATCCTTGCCTCTAAGGAGCGCTCTGGCCAGACTTCTTCCAGGACAGATGTGCTTGTGCATTTGGCCATCCCTGGCACTTGGACGATCCTCTGCCAACGCCGTTCTTCAAGTGCATCCATTCCTCTTCCGGCAAGACGGCAAGGGTAAACTCTCCTGTCCAGGGATTCGTCCTCTTCACAGCAAATGCCCCACTGTTCGGGGCCCTCTCGGTTCGCTCCTTTGGACCTTGGGCCTCTCTCTAGGCATCGTCTCTGGGTGGAGAAGGACACAGGTCATAGAGTCCCTGCACCAGCTGAATAAGACCAGGTAACAAGCACAGGCAAGAGCCTGGGGGCCACAGCATCTGGTGCTAACCTAGCCCCTCGGAAGAAAGGCCTCGTGATCCACCTCCAGGAGGATGACCACCAAGCAGCACTAGGGGGCCAGTTCTGGCCAACAGAGGGCAGGGATGGCTGGACACGACAGGAGCCCCACTGTCCTGGACTTCCACAGCATCCCTGCCTCTCCCGTTGACAGGCATTAGGAGGGTGCACCCCTGACTTGATGAGCATCCCCCAAAAGCAGGAGCCTCCCCTGTCATTGTTGTCCCCCCCCCCAGGCAGTGGACGGAGCCCAGGGGCCCCCACGTCC